AGTCTATGGAGAGGACGTGGCTTCATGCACTGTTTTCAGAACAATGCATAGTTAAAAACTATCACTGCACCAAAGTGCAACTTTTTTTTACATGCTGAAAAATGCACATTTAAGGACAAAAGTATAATAAAATAGCTAAATCAAGCAACTCTGAATTGCTAAAGCAAGCTATATAGCTAATTAAAGCTATATAGCAAAATTAGGAGATTATGCTGGACCTGATTATTTTTTCACACAGGTCACACAAGCCTCATGTTCTAAAAAAGATACTGGGGTTTCTTTAGACCTTAACAACTAACCTTACCTAACATGACTAAGGAGATTTCAGAATTTTTATTTCGAATTGCAATAAATAAAACACTTTTTGCGTAGACTAAGAAAGATCATCTATGCTTGACAATTTACCGTTGTAAAAAAGCCATAACTGGATTCTACGACGTACAAGTACAGATGCAGACAATGTGTTACAAGGGAGATAACCGCATTGCTTCATATCCCTGATTTATTCCATCTAGACTTTCCATCAAGCTAACATTCATCTTAAAATAATTCATTCTTTGCTATTTTACTCAATTGCACCAAATTATTCACATAAAAAGAAAATAATGGAGTTTTTAAAGATAAAATTGTCACTCACTTGGTGTTGCCATTTTTCACACGCTTGTAACAGGAAACTAATTAAGCACGCTAACTTCGAAATGGTAGGCACAACTTGTATATTTCCGGAAAAATAGTCCATTTGTAAACTAGATTTATTTATTTAAAATTACACAAGCTTACGATTTTATTTCACCCGAGCCAAAGGTTCAAGTGAGAGGGCGTCCGAAATTGTGTGTTGTGTGTCAAATCATAACCCCAGGGGGCAGGTTGGGGCCGAAATAGGGATAAAAGTAACATATTTAAAGTCTTCTTCTCAAGAACAGCAGGGTCAGGATAAGATAATATGGAAGAATCTACTGGTAGTGTAAATTATAATAATTATAATTTGTTCATGTTATTGCCCCAGGGGCAGGATGGGACTACAATATAAGGGATCAAAGATTTAGGGCCTACGATGAAATATGTAGGATTTTTTTTTAGTCTTCTTAAGAATAGCTAAGCCATGATCAGTATAATTGATATGTATACAAGCATCCTTAGATAGTCCAGATTCATCTTTGTTTGAATTAATAGGGAAATAGGGTGATCACAATAGGGGGCAACATGTATTTATGGTAACACGTACATAGCAAATAATCTTTTAGAAGACTCCCCAAGAACCAAGAAAGAATCATTCATTTTCAAACATCCTGAAGTTCTGCGGATTCGATTTTTTAATCGATTATGGGGTAAGGGCTGATCAAAAACGGGGATTAATTTTAACATGATAATGCTTGCGCACTGGAAAAAATCATCAAGGCAACAAGATTGTGTTATAGTCATTTGATATTGAAGCGTTGATATTGAACACCAAGAGTTTTTTCTTTTCTTTTAGAAGTTTTCGAATAAATTCTGCTTTTTAGGATTATAAAGAAGCTCGGCTAAAACAAAAGAGCACAATTAGTTCCCATCGAAATTCCAACAGTTTGTTGAAAGACCTGGTCCCAAAGTCTACTTTGATATTATCAAAGAGGATCTGTCATCCTCTTAATATCAACTTCAGAGTACATGTGTATAGAATGAGAATTTTTTAGAAAAGTATTTTTGTAGGTGACCAGTCGAAAGATATGAAAATTTTCTAGTTCTAGCTTAATAGAAGGGGTTATAATTTTTTATGTCAAAAAGCTTGTTTTTTTAGTTTATTGTGAGGAATAGTTGTATAAATTGTATCAGATTCATGTTTTGATGTTACTGATTTTGTGGGAAAATGTGATTTCAAATTATCTAAAAGTTCCTTGGTTTTTTTTGGGTTTTTTTTAAAATTTACGTTTGATTAACAAAATTCTTGTGTAAGTTATAGCACAGTTCTTCTGGAGTTTGTCCTTCACAGTTGACCTTGACGCAGTAAATATTTTGTGAGGAGGTAAGATGGAATTTTCGTAGAATTTTTAAAGGACGCTACAATGCATGTTTGTAAGGATTTTATGAAGGATTTGGAATCCAGTATATCAAATTTATTTTCATAGCCTGAATTATTATCTTCAAGTGAAGCGTATATATCCATACAATGTTTGAGTAACATTTGTTTTTTATTTCTAGAAATTCAAACTATAAGATTCGTAAACCCGGCTGATTTCAATTTTACATTGCCAAGCTTAGATGACCTTAAAGAGCTTCAAAACGGAATAAAAATTGAATGGAAAAGCACGTCATCTTATCAAAGATCTCTAACATCACAGGAAGACCCGAGAACCAGCGCTAGGATAATCGGCATATCGGGGCTTCTTATTGTGTTGGGAATATGTACATATATATGTTCATTAGACTTCATAAAGCACATAAGGATCAATGGAAAAGTAAAAGTGACTCAGGGTATGAAACAGAACCCGGATGTTTTGGCGGATAATGGAACTAGCGACAAATACGCGCAGAAAGGCGGACCGAAGAAAAAGGGGCGTAGTGCTGGTAACGTTTACTTGTTGGATGACGTAGAGCATCTGTACGCGTAAGAACGAGAAAACAAAAATGGTTAAATGAAAAAAAAAATTCTGTATGGAAATATTTAAGAAAACATCTCTATTCATTTACGTACTTATTTAGAATCCTTGAACAGCGAACAAGAGAGAGAGAGAGAGAGAGAGAGAGGTTAACAATACTTTTTTGGTGAAAATTAATTGTTTTATGAGCTCTTTTTTGGCTGATATTGTTTTAAAAGGCAAATTTTTTTTGAATTTGCATTAAAACTTATGCTTTGCAAGTTTAGTTTTTGTTCAAGACATGTAGGAACAATTCTGTACATTTATTGACTTGTTGATATTTTTATTGTGCACTAAAGAATTAAATGATTAAATAGAAAATGATATCTGTAATGACCATAAGGGTCTGAGATTCGGCCTAGGCTGGATATTTGGACTGAATCCCTTTGAGGTAACATATTAGTCAATGGCTGTGTTTCACAAAACTATCGTAAAGATTCGTGTTAAGACATATCGTAAGATCATGAAATATGAAGATAACGAACACTTCTACTTACTTCTTTGTAGACATCACGTCTACTTACTTCTCATTAGACCACCATCTCTACTTACTTCTCATTAGACCATCATCTCTACTTACTTCTCTGTAGACATCATCTCTACTTACTTCTTTGTAGACATCAATCCTACTTACTTCTCTGTAGACATCAATCCTACTTACTTCTCTGTAGACTTCAATCTTACATACTTCTCTGTAGATATCACTCCTTATTTCTCTGTAGGTATCATTTCTACGCACTTCTCTATAGATATTAATCGAACTTACTTCTCCGTAGAAATCAATCCTACTTACTTCCTTATACACAATTATACTACACAAAATATGGAGATAACGAACAGTACTCAAACAACACAAAGTTGGAGCAGATCAAACACGGACCTCTAAAAACATCAGAGGTGGGATCAGGTGCAATAAAGGAGTAAACATCCCCTGAAGATCATCTTAAAGTCTAGCTTACGACAATCATAAGATTCACAAAACTGTGTTAAGTTTAAGAAATCTTAAGACAAGTCTTAGGACAAATTTCATGCTTCAAGTTTAAAAGGAAAGTTTTAAAAATATTTTTAGCTGTCTTTCTCTATTTTTTAGTATTTGAAATAGTGGTGTATCTTAAATAATTTCTTCTGGGGTTATAAGCTCGGAAATAACATTTAATTGCACTTCAATGTAATTTGAAGTGGGAGTATTCAGAAAAAAACGTTTAAATATGTTTTTTTTTTATTTAAAAGACTGTGTGAGAAAAGAAAGTATTGAATAGAATTTGCATAAAAGTATCTTTGCGAAGAAAATAAAGGCTATTGATAAAATGTATTAAGCAATACTAATTCATATTAAATCCACTATTGCATTTGTGCCTTTGCAAATAATGAAATGCAGCTGTAACATCAAAGCGTATTCAAAGTATCCTGGTGCGTTTGCATAAATGTCTAAGAAGGTGTCTCTAACATGCTTTTACTATTACTAAAATAATCGTGCTATTAATGAAGTAGAGAAAAGAAAGAACAATTGTCACTCAGAATTTAACAGTTGTGAATGCTCTCAAGAAGGAAAAGTGGCGTCAATTGTTACAGCAGTAATTACATCTATAACCGGCCCATCAGGTCGGCTAGCCTATAATAAATAGTAGGTGTGTTGAGTTTCATCGACGGATAAGGGGGGGGGGGGGGGTACTTCAAGAATTTAAACTATTTCATGTAAGTTTGTAAAACTTAATTTCTGGGGGAAAAATCATCAAAATGTACTGAAAGAAACTAAAACGTCTCACAAATGTAGGGTGGCTACAGAACCAATGTTCGATTTTTTAATTTTTTTTTTTAATTTCGGGGGCAGGTCTTGTCCAAACCTTAAAAATCTCGTAAATACTTCGAATTTTTGTTGATCCCTAAATCAAACATCTCGAATTGCGTTAGCTATTTAAAAATTGCACACGTATGGAAACTAGAATTAGCAGTGCTTGATTACAGAAAATATGATATTCTAGCGGAAAATTGAACTTTGCAAAATAAATTTAAAATCAAATAAATTTTGAATGAGTTATAAGTAATATCTGGCTCCCAGGATAATAAAGCAGTTAAAATTTGTACATTGACTTAATTGCTTCCTTTTTATGTTTTAAAATTTTAATTTTCAAATGTCAGTATAATAAATATTCATTTTATGATTGATAGAAGTTTGACTTCAGTCTAAGACTGCATCTTGATCCTGGGATTTGGAACTTACATATACAGGCCCGTAGGAATTAAGAAATTTTGATTGAGGGGATACACATCCAAACAATTTCAGTTGGACGGGGCTGTGTGTTATTGATTTATGTGACACTTGCATTTGTATTCTTTTATACGTGGATTATATAATATGGTCATTATTAAATTGTTTTATTCAATAAAGAGTTTTAAAGTACAAGTCTGTGATTAGTAAAGGTTTAATTGTTTTAGGTAATTTTAATGGATGAAATGTATGGAGATATCGAACAGTAATCAAGCTCAAAAGTCCATTCAAACAATACAAACAATACAAATCAGGAGCAGAGGAAACACGGACCTCTAAAACATCACCTGCCGTGTGCTCCTTGTCATGATCGGGAAATGACGGGAAATTCCCTCGATAATTCAGTGTGTAAATAATGGTCTAACAATTAATATGAAAAACGTCAGTCAGTATTTGACTTAGTGATAGGTTGTATTTGCTGACAAGGTCATTGTATCGACCATAGAACTTAAGAAATGATGACCTTAAACCAGACTGTTGATATTCTTGTTTCATCAACTTGTTTGTCAATAGCTTACCTCATTTTAGAAATTGTTCATACGTAGAGCATGCTCTTGCGTATCGAATCATCTGAGAGATATAAACTTCATATGCAGTGATGAGGATATATTGAAAAGTTAAAGTCATCACGTTTGTCATAAAGCTTTGTTGTTAGATTACCATTAACGTCTTTTTCTAGTAAAATATCCAAATATGAAATAGATGTGCAAGACTGTATTATCTTTTATTTCTAGTAAAATATCCAAATATGAAATAGATGTGTAAACTCTGTATTATCTTTTATTTCAAGCTCA